GTACGCCGGGACTGTGATGACTGCGTTGGACACCTTTTGACCGAGATAGGCCTCAGCAATCTCCTTCATCTTCACCAGGACCATGGAGGAAATCTCCTCCGGGTAGAAGGATTTGTTCTCCCCTTTGTACTCCACTTGAATTTTGGGCCTCCCTCCATCTGTGACCACATTGAAGGGCCAGTGCTTCATGTCAGCCTGCACCACTGGATCATCCATCTTTCTTCCAATCAGTCTCTTGGCATCAAACACAGTGTTGCTGGGGTTCAGAGCCACCTGGTTCTTGGCTGCATCCCCAATGAGCCTCTCTGTGTCAGTGAATGCTACATAACTGGGGGTGGTCCTGTTACCCTGGTCGTTGGCAATGATTTCTACTTTTCCATGTTGGAAAACTCCAACACAGGAGAAGGTGGTGCCCAGGTCGATCCCAATTGCTACACCTCCAGATGAAGACATTTTTACTGCTGATGGTCACCTGGGAAAGGGTTAAACAACATTACTGCACCAACTGTAGACTATTTTCTACAATTCTATAGTTCTACAATTCACTTATTATCCAAAGCGTCGTACATCAGAGAGTAAGTACAACACAAGCAAGGATCTGGAAAAAAGGGAACAATGTCAGTAAGAGCAAACGATCAGCTTTGAGTCTGATTGGACACACAGGTGCTGACAGGAAGTGACCAGAGGCAAAGCACAACATTGAGGGCAGTTCTTGAGAGCTCTAATCAGTATAGAAACCATCTTATAAGTCGTTGTTATCAAACAAAAACCATCGTCATTACCATCATCATCATCAATAATATGGAGACCATCATCATTAAGTTAGTAGGTATTTATGAAAGAGCTGGTATTCTTTAGCTTTTTCTTAAATGTGCAGAGGAACAATTGTCACATCTACCATTATTAGTTCATGTAAAAACAGTTCAGGTTTGGTCAATTTGGGCAAAATACACACACAAAAACTGAAGATGTACTCATTGGCCTGACAAAGAATTGACTTCACTTATATTTAATCATATCACAATTCTAACATGCTTTTACCAAACATAAAAGCATCAAAGTTTCAGAGTGAACTATAGTTTCTGGATCATGACTGAATGTAGTAGGCTACTTACAATTAGAAGCTGAATGTTCTGTGTTGTGAAGAGAAATAATCTTCTGTCGCTGTCATCTGGTCTGTTTCTGTAACTGTCATTGCTTTATACCTGTGGCAGCACTCAGTCTGGCTGCTTCGAGACGTTTCACACACACCTGCATCAAGTCAGCGTCTGTCATGGGAAATGTTTCCTGTTTAGACTTTCGACATAAAATACAAGTTTAATGTTACTGGCAGTGGTAGGTAGGAAATGTTTTGAACTCGTTTTGTTTTGAAAGTAAAATCCGACACTAATTGAAAACTTGACGCAGCTTTAAGAATATTCTCGAATCTACCCGAAGAAGAAGTGGAGCAAAACCTAGAAAGATCCAGTCAGGAAAGTGTGACCAGTGTTGCCAGGTCCGCTTGTTATGAGCGACTTTGGGCTTGTTTTTCTGTAAAGTCGCTTGTAAATATCTTCAGTCGTGGGTTGTGGGTTTCTGGGCTTGTTTTCTAAAGTGCAGTTGCTTGTTTGGGTTGTTTGTTTGTTCCCTGTATGAACCCCTGCTGATTCTCTCCCAACTCTCCACAATAAAGCCAAACACGATCGCGATAATTTGTCCTTTTCCAGTTGCAATGATTGACAGCGAAACTATAATGTACTCAAACATGTACATCTACAACAAGCAATCAAGTGTCTTTAGTTCACATGCTGACTAAAGCATGCTGGTTGTACAGTGCTCACTGGTGTGGAGTGCTGTGTGTGTGTGTGTGTGTGTGTGTGTGTGTGTGTGTGTGTGTGTTAAATCAAAGTCTTTAGAGGGCATTTGTAAAAACCAGCTAGCACCCCTGTTGGATGAGATTTGAGATCCTTAAAGTTAAGTACAGATAAGAGCCCATTACAAATGTCAACTCAGTGAGAGTACTTGCGTGTTACCATTCAAATAAAAGTATTGCTTGTTTAAAAAAAGCCTTTCATTTATATACTTTAATATCATTTTGATAACCATTTGTCATTTAACTGTTGAACTGGATCTAAGGGTATAGGTTTAATATCAATGATTTTTTTGGTTTTATTTTCTGCTTGTTAAAATTCAAATTCAATGAAACATATCTAAACAATGGTCCAAAAAACCTCTGAATTATTGTATCTGCAGTATTATTCATTTTACCAGAAGATCTGAATTCCCACATTTTGAGAGACTGACTGATATTATTTCATGAAAAATTCAACAACTTATCAGGATACCAATAATTTTTTTTTTTTTTTTTTAAATGATTCAGCTTTGATTTCACTTTCTGTGAAGTTCTATCAACAGTTATTATTGGGTTTTATAAGAGTCTTTTTAAACACCCCTAGATGTAATTCCTTAACTTGGGAGAACCCTGTCGAATTGGAGGAGAAAAATGAAGTACTCAAGAACAGTAAATCTACTTAAAAATGGTTCCTGGAGTGCATTTTTCTTTACACTATTGACAAATATGACAGTCAAGGCAATAAGTAATGATTATTTTATTTAAATTAGCCCAAAAAAGGACATATTAATGGAATCAAGGAGTTGAAAGACGGTGAACTTATAACAGATATTTAGAAACAAGTCAAATGGCCACTCTGTTATTGATGGTGGTGTTACTTCTTTGGTGTGAGGATCAATTCCAGTTGGGTCTAAAGAGGAAAACAAAATAAGAATATTAACATCATGACCACATCCACTACAGGAACAAGTGCAGGGGGAAGATATATTTCTGTGGTATGAAGCCTTGACATGTCACCTTGATCTGCAGGTTGGTTCTCTTGAGGAACTGGATCTCTTCCACGTGCTTCTTTTCTTCAATCTGTCGCCTTTCAGTTTCTCGTTTTTCAATGGCATCACGTTGAGACTTGAGTTCGTTCAGTGAGCTCCAGTTATCGTCAAGATCCTAAACAGGATCAGTGAATTAATTTAGAGGAATGCTGCCCTCTGCTGGATACTAAACCGAATAGCTGTCATACTTACAGTATTCTCTAGTTTATGGATAATTTAAACCAGGGGTGCCCAACCTTTTTTAAACCAAGATCTACTTTTAAAGTTACCAGTCTGCAGAGATCTACCAGTCCACATAGTGAGCCGTACCCTTTACCGACAGCCTCCAAACGCATTTAATACTCACACAACAAACAGAAAATAATTTCAGATATAATAAATGAGAGTTCTGTAAAAAATAATGCAAATTTTTTAAACTCTTATTTTAGGGTAGGCTACATTTTAATATTACGTTTGTATTTATATCACATATGTTTTTCCCTTAATTTAGTTTACAACAAACAACTTTAATCTGTGTGGAGATGTTCACAGACTACAGCAGGCTGCTGTGAGATGATGTTGCTTTTGTTAAATTAGCTGCAGACACGGTGAGAGTGAACGGAGTAAAGTCCAACCGACTGTTTGACCGGATCACGTGTGTTCCCGCCTCGGTCCGTACGGATCACGGATCAACTGTGTGCTGTAGCACTGAAAGTAAAAAGGTTTGCGTGGTGGCTGGTGCTCCAGTGCAAGTGTGTGTGTGTGTGTGTGTGTGTGTGCGTGTGCGTTTGCGCTGTTTGTTGGTGTGTCTCGTGCCCCGCGATGCTCACAGTCATGACAGCAGAGAGGAGCAGAGAAAAGTAGCTGCAGCTTCATCAAATGCGCTTAATACTCGTTGCATAGTTTCTATATATGACTTTTTTGTAAAACATTTACCCCCCCGGTTTTACCTGCACGTCATTGCGCATGCCTGCACTCTCTCTCTCTCTTGCGCTCTCTCTCTCTCTCTCTCTCTCTCTCTCTCTCTCTCGCTCTCTCATGCACGCAGCAATTTCATGAATAAATGAAAAATTAAATACACACAGGTCGGAAGTATACTTGGGCTCCCCACACAGGTATCGTGTGTGGGAAACACTGCAATGAGATGAAATTGAAATCACTTTTCTATTTTACAATTGTATTTTATATTGACTAAACATCTCGCGATCGACTGAGAATCAGTCAGCGATCTACCTGTCGACCGCGATCTACCTGTCGACCGCGATCTACCTGTCGACCGCGATCTACCTGTCGATCGCGACCTACCTGTCGATCGCGATCAACCTGATTGGGCACCCCTGATTTAGAGGAATGCTGCCCTCTGCTGGATACTAAACCGAATAGCTGTCATACTTACAGTATTCTCTATTTTATGGATAATTTAAACCCTTCAATTACTGACATGGTAAATGTTATTTTACTCATGAGTAAATATCATATTCACTGTAGTAAGTGGAGAAACAGCAAACCCTCCTTTGACTGGTTTTTAAATGATTTTAAATAGTTTTTCTTATCTCTGAAAAAAATTAAATCTAGCAGGATTGCTGGAAAGATTAGTGCTGAAATTCTTGTTGTTTTGATTTCTGGCCCTTGTTGAATTTTTTTTTGTCCTTGCTCCAGTTTGTTGTCTGCTTACATTTGCCTGATGTTTTCTTTTGGAAAAGTTAGATTTTTATTTATTTATTTTTATATGTAACCCCCCCTAGTCTTGATTTATGTTTGAATTAACTTGTTCCTGTGTATTTTGCTGTTGCATGTTCATCCTCTTCAAGAGTTTGTATAAACATTTTTTTGAATATGTTAAATTTGTCAATAAAGACGGTTTAAAAAACAAACAAACATGTTATTGTATGTGGTTGTTTCCCGGAGAAGCCTGCAGAGGACGATTTTGTTCCGCGCTGATTCGTTTCTTCTCTGACGCAAGCTGACACGTCATCACGTTGCACTTCCTGCTGTTTACTTCTTGCGGGAACTCAAACTCGGCTTGGCTCCTCTGAACGGTCTACGTCCACCTGTGAAGGTATTAAACTTAGGTTTTCGTGTGGGATACGACTTCAACTAGCGCAGGTAAATGTAAAACACGACGCTGGTGTTATTTAGAGAATGTTTATTCATTGTGCTCTATTTCAGAAGCTGCTGGAGCTAGTTAGCTAGCCGGCTACCTGCGATTTATCACTTTATTTACTTTAGATGCAGGTGAATGAAATCGCCTGAATCACCTGTTTCTTCATCTATTAATCTGTTCTACATGAGCGTCGTAATCACTGTGGAAAAAAGAAACCGATAATTGTTGTTTTCTTATGTTTATAAGTTTATTAGCAGCTGAATTAAATCAATGAAACATCAGGACACGTGTGTTTACCTGATCATGATGATTCTCTCTACAGTCAGGATTCATCTTCATCTGCTATGAAAGGAGCACTTTGCACTTTTCACTTTTCACTGCAGCTTCTGTTGTGATTATGTGTGTGTTGTTGTTTTTTTGTTTAACAAGAAACAAGTTGAGATAAAGAATATAATGATATAAGAGTCTCCTGTACGGTGGCTGGGAAGTGCAAAGCAAAATTACAAAGTGTTAAATTACTTTATTAGATTACAAAATCTACAGCAGAAATGTGAGACAAATTTACATTTTGAAAAACATTTTTACATTTTATGAAACAAAATCACAAAACCAAAAACACTTAGAGGACAAAACAAATTTACAAGATGTGAAACACTTTTAGAATCACTGAGACAAAGTCACAAAGAGGCAGAACACTTTCATCACTTCAGTCCCCAAACAAATTTACAAATGACAGAATCTTGACGGAAAGCGAATGTACCGCAACAAAATGAAACAAACAAAATGACCCCCTCACTCGATCACTTCCGGGTCCACTTCCGACATTTGGTACATTCCCATTTTGTCAAGATTCTGTCGTTGGTAAATTTGTCTCATCGATTGTAAATGTCTTTTTCAAAATGTAAATTTCTCTCACATCTGTAATTTTGCTTTGCACTTCCCAGCCACCGTACTCGTGGCCAAAAGAGGCAGCAGCACAATTGACAGAGTTCCAGCTCACACGCCTTCATTCATCTCTCTTTAAGTTCGCTGAGACTCTTTGTGAATATTTCACCAGTGATTGTGCGTCTGTCACGAACTGGCTCGAAGTAAGTGACAAAGGAAGGGAATCACACATGAAACAAGGTTTTAAAGGAAGTTAATTTATTATCAAACTAAAGTTAAAACAATCATAATTAGATAGATCAGTCCTGAATGCAATGTATGGATGAGTGTTGTGTTGTAAAGTGCAAACAAATGCAAACCAGTTGGTGGAGGCCTGAGAGAAAGAGAGGAGAGACTGGAAGCCACTTCTAAGCAGAGTCCTGATGGACTCAGGTGTACCCAGTCGGACTAATAACCTTCCTGACTCCGCCTGCTGTCTGCCAAACCAGGAAGCCAAACAAATGCAGACAGAGCAGGACGTCACACATCTCTAAACTTTAGTGTTTGTAGTTCAGTATTTTGAGGCTGGTTAGTTCAAATGATGTTTCAAAGCTTTTCAAAAATGTGTTAAATTATCAGACTTTTTATTTACATGTTTTATGTTTCTGAAGCTGCAAAGATCACTTTTTTTTTCTTTCTTTTCTGTTTAAGCTTCTTAAATGTAAAGATCTGTTCTTTCATTATATCCGGTTGTGATTAACTCGTCACTAAATGTTTTACCAAAGATAGAAGCTATTTTCACTCACCATGTTGGAAATCAACATTATTCAGATTAATTTTTTTCTTATAATACATGAAATAATTCTGCAGTTTATAATGACAATAACTTTAGACTTTACTTTTTTGTCCCCAAGGGGAAATTCTTTTCCACTTTCCACAGTTATGGACAGCACGCCGACAGATAATCACAGATGGACAAACACAACAAGATAACATGCATACAGATATATAGACAGAGTGGGACTGGGGTGTTTTTTATTTTGGCCTTTTGTTGAGGGCTGCTGTGGCTGCAGGCGCCAGGCTTTTGCCATATCGAGCCCTCCTGCACAACCGGGACCTGTACCTGCGTCCAGAGGGCATAATGGTGAAGTGGCAGTTGAGTGGGTGTGTGTTGTCCAGTGAGATGGCCTTGAGATTGAGCTCTGACAGTGTGGGTGTGGGGAGACCAATTCATTTGGCAGCTATGTTTGTGACACGTGTGAGTTTGACCCGGTTCTTGACAGTGAGCATGTTAAAGAAGAAAGTGGAACAGTAGAGCAGGATGGGCTAATTTCAGTTTCAGCTTTAAGTTGTATTCAGTTCAGTTTCAGTTTTAAGACCTCACAATCAGTCAAATTATTTTCCAGTCAATGATTAAAACACACCGGGGTTCATAGACAGATCTCACACATGTGGTAGATAAACATCACTTACACTCATCACATTATATTCTTCAGTTTTAGCTCATCCTGCCTCTCTTTATCTGACCTCCAGATATCCTCGTCATCACAGATCATGGAGTCAGAGGAGACCGGATCCCCTCCGTCTGGTTCGGGGTCGACTGAAGTCTTTAACTCCATCCGGGAGCGCACCATCGCCGAGAACAGCATGGTGGTCCTGCTGCAGGGCCTTCATGGAGAGGTGACCACGGTAGACCTGAGGAACGAGAGCTCTGCGCGGGGCTGCGTGGTCAACGTGGACGCCTTCATGAACGTCCGTCTGAAGGATGTGGTGTACCGGGACAGACGGGGTCAAGTCACACAGCTGCAGGATCTGTTCATCACGGGCAGGAACATCCGCTACGTTCACATCCCGGACCATGTGGACATAATGAAGACCATCGAGAGCCAGCTGGCCAAGATCCACAGAGTCCGCAACTTTGCCAGTCAGGGAGGAGGCAGAAAAGAGTTCAAGACGAAAACAAAATAATGTTTTTGTTTTCTAAAGGACAGAAAAATTCTGTTGACTTCTGCATGAGCTACGTTCCCGCCTCCTGTCCAAACTTTCCTTCACACTATGTTTGACTTTTTCACTTTTTCACACCAAAACCTGACAGAAGGAATCAGTCTGTGACGCAGACTTTGAACAATTTGAGGCAAAACTTGTGATGAAAGGTCAGAGGTTGACATTACAGCTAAAATGTTAGTTAATCAATTAGATGGTAAACAGAGTGGGTGACGTTTTGTCCTCCTGTGTTACTAGAGAATTCTGACATCGTGCACCCAGCAGGTAAAATGTGAGACTGAGGTTAAGCAGGTTTAAGAGTTTAAAACGTGTTAGTGATGAATCAGTTTGCGCTGTCATTGTGAGTTCACCAAGGTCGAGAATGACACTATCGACTGGGGACGTTTTCTCACATATTTGTAACAAACAATCTTTTTTGGTGCCTTGTAATGTCTCAGCTGACGTTAACGTTGATGACAGTATATCTGATTCTTTAAAGGAACCTCTGGACCCGTTAAACACTGAGTGTTTGTGTTTTCTGTTTGTTGTATTTTTTAGTTTTGATATTGACACTACAGTAGGAGGTAATTTTCAATTTGTTTTACAGAAATAAGAGTCATGTTTTGGAGTTGCGTTCAAGAATTTGGAATAAAGATACATACAATTGCTTCAAAGAACATCTCTGTTTTCTTCAGACTGTAAATATAAAGTGAATAAAGCAGCGGAAAGTCACAAGTTTGAGTATCTGGAGCCAGAAAGGATTATAGTGTGACTCCTCTCCTACGCCGGCAAGTTTCCTTTGGTAGTAATCTCTGTTCCAAGAATGATTCTACATAAATATATAAAATCTGTACACAGTGGTCTGGACTTTCAGTATGTGAAAGATTGAGATTGAGTTTGCTTTGGTAGCAATTTGTCCAAAACAGGTCAAAAGAGTGAAACATATCTTGCTTTATCGTCTGTTTTACTCTTAGTGGGACCATAACTTTAAAAAATATCTTCTTTATTTGTATTAGAAGAATCCTTGAAACTTGCTATGAATGAATAAACTGAGCAGGAATATGTTCACTGAGTTAATTAATCAAGTGAAAAGTAGGGCAACTTTCTCATCTGGTTCCATACAGTCTTACTACTTATTGCACCCAGTTTAGTGGCCTCCTGCTGGCCATTTGTGAGAATGCAGGTTATTTAAATCACTTCAATTTCTACATTTTTAAGAGGCTTTGTCTATGCCTCATATAGTCTCTGCTCACAGCACATCCCTGCTGTTAAACATTAATGTGGAATACAAGAATCAACATAATGTTCAGGTGTGGCCCGGAGAGTCAGCACAAAGCTCGTCTGTCTGTCCGTCTGTAAAAACCAGCTTAGAAGTTAATAAGTGCCCATATACAGGAAAACATTACTCATGGTGAGTGTCGGTCTGGTGGAGGTTGAAAAACAAGCCAACACGTTTCCACAGCCTCCACATCACAAACATCTCTGCTGCGTGCATCAGCGAGCTCTGACAACCAGGATGGGACTCTGGCTGCAAGCCAATAAAAAACGAGCAGAACGGGTGGAAGGAAGAGTGTTTCGCTTGGAAACTGCCAATACACAAATAGGATGAGGAATTTGAGGAATTTGCAGAGGGGTATGTTATTCCTACAGAGTATCAGGATGAGGACAGGCCTGACATAACACGACACAGGCGGAGGCCGATGAACTGAGCACAGTGTGCAGAAACATTTAAAGTCAGCGAATTAAATTAAGAGCAACATGCACACAGGAATGTCCCTCAGCGGTCGGAGCATTGTTTTGGTTGTGGCCTCGGTGTGTTTTTTAAGGGACATATTTTTCTCTTGACTCCTTTAAAAAAAACAACCTGGAGAGCGTCTGAATGAGAGCAGCCACATAATGACTGCTTACTGCTCGGCTGAAAGACACGACCGAGTGCCACATCAACACTCATTCAACTCAGAATAGCACTTTGCAGAGGCTCCACCGCATAAACAATTCTTAAACAATACATCACACGGCCTGGGTCAGTGTCACAGACTCCAGCAGAGCTCCAAGAAGTGCTCAGAGTGAAGAAGAAGAAGTACTTCAAACAAAGAACAGTTCTACTTTCTTTTCTTTATGGTGAACGTACAGAAGAATAATCAGCTTGATGTTCTCAGAAATGAATTTATTTAGTTGGTTAGTTAAATCCGATTGTTCCAAATCGAGGGGTCAGGCCTCTATGAAGCATCAAAGGAACAATAAGAGGGGTCTTTAGATAGTTATGAGGCCGTGAGGCTTATCTTTTTTATTCATACTTTCTGCTTCCAAATGAAGTATTGTTTGACATTGTGTCACGTTTAAGATCTACATGAGGTTGTTTTATTCTACATCTTTCTGGTGCCCCCTCCCCCCTCCTTATTCTCAATGATGATGCTTTCTTTTAATTTATGTTTTTTTTAGGACTGAATAAGTAAGATACTCATATTCATTTTTTACATTTCCCATGGGGGGTCAGGGAATGAGGGAAACAACATTTAAAAGAATAACTGGAGAAGAAGAAGTGAGACCTGGAATGAACAAAAAGTTGGATTATTTATCAACAAACTGAGACGAATGTAAGAGCAAGCTGAAAGGATCGAAGGAGCTGATGTGTTCAAAAAACTATCAACCAACAACGGATTGTAGGAACTGATGCGTAAATGAATAACAAGCTGTAGTTCAGTGGTTGTAAACCTATGGTTCTGACCCCTCTGCTGGGTCACAGGATACATTTGAAGGGTCATGCTGTATTTTTTCTTCTCTTTCTTTGGACCTTGAACAGCCCATAGGCACCTGGAATGTGAGTAGCCAGAACCAGACAGACACTACTTTACTATTTTTTTTAAGAGGAGTCACTTTTTTAAAGTATCTAGACATATTGGTGTAAACTTAACACTGGGTTTTAACACAAGCACGCTGAGACAAACACACCTATCTTCCACAGAAGGAGTCCTTAATCTGGATCCAACAGTTGAAAATCCTTCTGGGTTATACTTTAGAGCAGTGGTTCCCAAAGTGGGGTCGCCAGCCACCAAGAGGGGGGTCGCGAGATGCCTTCCATAAAAAATAAAAAGAAATCATTTAAAAGTGCATAAGTATATATTTTTACCCATTTTTGTAAATATACAAAATAGTCCAATGCCATATAAGACAGAATCATTAAGTGAAATTAATGTGGACATTTTTTATTGTTTTTTTAAATAGTTTTTAGGCTGTTGTATTATTTTGTGTTCCTAGTTTTTGGATAGGTTTATCAATGTGTGCGTGACTGTCGCTACCTTATATACCTAACTAACCACCTTAAAGAACAGTGCGGGGTCCCCAGTTTCTGTCACCCTTATTTTGGGGGTCACAACCTGAAAAGTTTGGGAACCCCTGTTTTAGAGGATTTAAAACAAAGAGTGTCTAAAAAGACGACATTTAAAAAGCTAACGCGGTCAAATGTAAGAGGCGCTGAATGTAGAATGAATTGACTGATGCTCTTAGCAGCTTCTATTACACACAGAATAAAGTGCTGAGTCAGCATTAAATATAAACAGGTCACTCTCAAATATTTTCCCCTGGTAATAAAATTCAAAAGTGCTCATTCCACCACAGTCGAAGACAAAACATACAAAACCATTTTTTTATTCATGAAAACAAAAAAAGGATCAAGAAATGTTTGGAGACATTATGAACCCAAACAGGACATTCAGTTTATGTTTATGGATGTCTAAACTTTATCCAATCAGGTGAAGAGTGCAAATAATAATAATTATAATAATAATTAAATAATGTTTCAACAAAAAAATAAAAACAAACTGTATCTTGTTAAGATGTTAAAGAGTTGATGCTAATTGAGAAAATGTTGTGGATTAGAAGATTGATTTACTGCAGGATGAAGATGTAAAATTAGACCTTTTTACAGTGAAGCAGTAAATGTTCTTTATCACTTTCCACCAAACAACAGCACCTGTCCGCCTGCCACTCCTTTCTGTACTTTATAAACTCAGTGCACTCTTCCCCCCCTCCCTCAACGCTTAGATTAAAATACAAAGAGCTCAATTAATCCAGGAGCCCTGGGAGAAGTCCTGCGGCAATGTGCCCATGGCAGCCGACGAGCTATTTCCTGTCCCACCCTCTTTGGCTTCACAGTGAACAGACCTCACTGTGGTGCGTTTGTGGCCAGCAGAGGAGAGATCACCTCCCTCTGGTCAGCCGTGAGGCTCAAATCTGCACAGAAGGAATTCTCCAGGGGAAATGATTGTTTCTTTAAAGGTTATGACTCAGTTGTTTCATTTTTGGGGCTCTTATTTTGTAGCCAGATGCTGGTGAGTGTCTCTTATCTGTCTCAGGAACAGGAAACACCTCCTCTTCAACACGCGTTTGGACTGTTGGAGGCTGGTCCTCCTCCTCCTCCTCCTCCTCCAGAGGATGTCAGGGAGTGGATCATAGTGGAAGCTGCTCTTTCTCCGGCTCCAGCAGCTACATCAGCTCCTCTGTTACAAACACCAACAGTGACTCTCTCCTTCTCGTCAAAGTTATGGGATTTCATCTCATGTTTGCCTGACACACCAGATCTGAACTTTTTTGCTTTTCATGGGAAACTTTTATTCAGCTCTCGTCCGAACAAGGTGAGTGATGGTCTGACTTTAGGATGACACCGTCTTTATCTTTTACTGTTCTTCTACTAAATCTAGTTTTTAAGTTAATCAAGCCTTTATTTCACATCACAGGGGCTTTTTGTCTGAAAAACTTGCAAGCTCAGATTTTTAAATTTTGAAAACAATCTTTTTCAAAGTGCACTTGAGTTTCTTAGTACTTTGCTGTCAGGCAGTAAACAAAGCAACAAAGTGGTTTATTAGTAGCCCTGCACCATGTTTTTACAACACCACAAACTATAAAACTCTTTAGAGGTGCAAGTAGCTGCAGCATGCCCAAAATCAACAAAACTTTTGAGACAAATTCACTTTGTTTCATGTACTTTACTACTTTTTTGGCCCGCTTTCTCTTGTGCTGGAGGGAGGGGGTTCTGACAGCGACCCCTCCTCTGAGAGACTGTAAACACGAAGTGGAAGCTACTGTAAAATAACAAGTGTTATTTTCAATGGTTTCAGGTTTCTTCTTTTAACTTAAATGGGATTATTTAAGCAGGAAATGTGGGAGGGTTGAACGGGAGTGCATTTTATGGGGTTACATAAACAGCTACAGCTGCCGGGCTTTGCATGTGTTTAGTTAAAGTAGACAAGTTATTGGACTTGTCTGGAAATGTTAGGTGTTAAATCTGTCTGCCCTGAGACTGCGGCTGCATGAAACGGACATTTGTCTCCCTCTGGTATTGCTGCTGTGCTTCCAGCTCAGACAAACTCCACCACAAACTGTCCATCATGAAGTCATGCGGGGCTCTGCATAAAGTATAAGTATTGTATTATTCTGTAAATGAAAAGAGAACAAGACAGTCAGTGTTCTCGCAAGTTGACATCATTTTTTAACTTTACAGCGTAGTCTGTGCAATTTGTTGACAGCTGGACCACAAAAAGTCCCCATCTTAATGCCTCTGTCTTTAATTAAGTCCTAAAGTCCTAAAGTCCCTTTTTGTTCCCAAATATAAGAGAAAAAAATGACAGTGGAGTTGGATTTTTTCAGTCTGTTCTCAGATACAAGTGTCAGGAAAATTCAAACAAGTCAAAATATGGGATGTAAATCTTAATGCTTGCTCAAAATGTAAAGCTGCCGCCACTTAGCTTATAGCTTAGCACAAATATTGAAAACAGGTGAGCAGCTAGCTTGGCTCTTTCCAAATAACTTAAACAGCATCTCTAAAAGCAAAAATAAAGATTAGGCTATCCTATAGCTCATTTGCATAATCATCATATTAGCCTGAACAAAAAAACAATACTGTATTTTGCCGTTTTCCATGCAGCAGGTCATGTTCTGCACTAAATATTGGTCAACTGCTGGCAATAAACTGCAAAATATATAGTTTGACACTTGAACAGCAAAGAGCAAACATGGTAATAAGTGAGACTTTTTTAAGGCGCTTGAAGGCCGTTCCTGTAGCTTCACTCTTCGTAGGCTAAGCAACATAAAAATCCTAAAATGTCTCCAATGAAGCGAAAAGGTTTCAAAGTTTGAAACCTATACCTAATAAGTTAACAATAAAGCTTTTGAACACATTGTTTGCCTTCACTTTGAAATACTAATTTCTGATAGTCTACGTACTCGTTTTTTCATGTTAGCTAATTGCAGCTTTGGGTTAGCTTTGCTTAGCATAAACACTGGGAACAGAGAAACCGCTAGCTTGAATCATTCTGAATGTTAACTTCAGTATTTGTTAAACTGTTAAGTGTGTAATATGACAAATGAGCTTTGGGTTTGTATTGTCTTTGGACAGAGATATGTTAATCCCTGTTTCCAAACTATGCTAATCTAAAATAACTACGGCTGCCAGCTGTAGCTTCATTTTTGGCACAAAGACCTGGAAGTTATATCTTAAAAACACCCAAGTTAAAGGAAATATGAAACCTGGACATATTCAGTAACAATGATATAGAAATTTTGAACAAACTTTTGGTGAGACTGTTAATTTAAAGTGGCTACATGTTTGCTTTCAGTTCCTTCTTCTGGGAATTGAGGTAACAGCTAGCTTGATCCTTCTTGAATAATCTAATAACTAATAAATAACTTGTGAATGAATAAGTTTTAAATGAGTTATGGTTCAGATGTTGTGTTTGGACAGAGCTAGGCTAACAGTTTGAATCCTTTTTCCCAGCTATGCTAATCTAAGATAACTGTCTACAGGCTGTAGCTGAGCATACTATCGATGTTCTCATCTAACTCTAAGTGTGTATAAATGACCTCGAGCAAATTACAGAAAATATGACTCGATAAAAAGTCTGATAAGTGAATGTAGAACTGCTGGGTGTAAAGATCAGTAACTTAAACAAACAATGTTTTCTTTAAACCAACTGAACTAAAAACTAAATTGCCCACTTATGTTGTTAAGGTCTGGGGGCTGCAAATTGAGGGTGCAGATGGAGTCGTGCTTCTTCTGACTGCGACTTAAATGTCGAACAGAAGGCATCGCTGGTTCAGATTAATCCGTTCCCATGAGTTGGTGAACCCTGAGTCAGCCTCTACCAGCGTAATTACCCCCCAAATAACAAAAATTAAAGCCTTTGAGAGTGATCAGGGTCTGCCAAGAGTCACCAGGATAAGGATCAGGGTGGGAGAGAGACTCAAGCCCCCAATGGCATGAGATTGGAGCTAGGGCATGATTTCGTATTCCCCGGAGAAAAGGCACCAGAAAGACAAACATTCGACTCCCACGCACATTGTTGTTGTAATGACAGGGGAATGTGAGGGGGCGGAAATATCAGTCATCATGTTTACATCAAGCTTTACTGTAACTGTGGGAATTTTTGTGACGGGGGTTCTTACCAAATCCCGTAATGTAGCCTCATGTAACACTTTGTTTGTAAGAGCAGTCTCTTTAGGGACAGTTCAACAAAATTGCAAAGAAAAATATTTTTAGAAAGCAGTTACGATAAGACACCGTATGTGTACAACCCAGAGCAACAGGAACATTGTTTCTAAGGAGAAATGCTACTGTCGAAGTTTAGCTAGCTGCATGACCCGGTGGTCCGTCCATCACTTTGGTCCAGACTTAAAATAGCTTAACTACTGTTGGATGGTTTACCATTAAATTTAATCAATCAATCAATCAATTTGTATTTGTATAGCATCAACTCATAACAAGTGTTATCTCGAGACACTTTACAAAAAGCAGGTAAAAGACCTTACTCATTGCTATATTACAAAGATCCGGCCTATCCATCATGAGCACTTTAGCAAAGCAGCAAAAGTTACAGTGGTAAGAAAAAACTGCCTTATTAAAAGTCAGAAATCTTCGGCTGGATCCCCGGCTCATGACAAAACAGCCTTCACAGGCCTAGACTGCGCCGGGCTTGGAAGGGGATAGGGGGAGAGATGGGATAAAATGCAGGAAGAGGGATAGGGAGCAAGGGGGTGGGGGGTGTTGTTCAGGCAAGCCATGTAATATAATCCATGTACACATGTCCCCCAGTTTAACCTAAAAAATATGGTAATTGTTTTTTACCTTACCTGGATCCTAACCTGGAGCAGGTTAAGAATTTAATTCATCCATACCTGATGGTAGATGTTAAGATGATTTTGGTTCTGACATTCATGGTCCCCAGAGGATGAATCCTAATTAATTTGGTGATCCACTTATTCTTCCTACAAAGCAACTATGAGGTTTAATTTAGTCATTGTAGTATGATTGTCCTTTTGACTGTTTTTGCAGGCAGTCTACAGTTATTCAACCCACCTTCCTATTCTATACGTACAGGATATCATATGTTAATGTGTGCACTGGTTCACAACACACAGTTAAACTTGTGTTTTCTTTTCCAAAGATTTACATCTTATCTCTTGTTTTCTGAGGGGATCTCATGCAGCAGCTGTTTCACCAGCATCTTCAATTAGTGTAATTATTCGCAGCTGTGAAAGATCCTCAGCTTCTTTAATGAATTGTGTTCTGACTCAATAGCCGCCTCAAACAACACACAATAAAATCCAGAATTATAAAAAAAATATTGTTTATTTTTGGGCTTTTTAAGCCACAGGTTAGATTCAAACCTGGGCTGCCCACTTGGAGGACTATTGCCTCCGAACATCGGGTGTGTGCACTAACCACTAGGATACGGGTGCCCCAAAATCCATAAGATTTATTTTTGGGCTTTTTGTGCCTTTAATGGATAGATAGGACAGTGGATAGTCAGAAATCAGGGAGAGAGAGTGGGGAATGACATGCAGGAAGGAGGCCACTGGTGGGAGGCCAACCCGGGCCGCTCACTCGAGACGACAGCCTCCATACATGGGGCGCGCGCACCAACCAATGCGCCACCAGTGCCCCAAAATCCAGCATTTTTAACTCTGGAGTTTTTGAGCACATCTTCCTCTTTTCCCAAGACTCTGAAACAGTTTTCTCAAAACCTTTTGCAAAATGAATCTAAACAAGAAAATCCACTTCTCCTAAATTAAAGTTTGAGTTTCTCCCTTGTTAAATGTCTAAGCGAACACGTGGCTGTCACTTTTTCTGTGGGGGAAAAAGAACCCTTGATGCAGGAAAAGAGGCCTCCTGAGGTGCTGATGTCATAAATAAAAACATCCCTTGACCGCAGGCCTGAGTGTAAAACACTTACAAGGAACACAATGTCCTTGTCTCCTGACCCCTGACACCAGTTTAGATCACAGAAACCACAGGGTGGGGACACTTTTAGTTGGACTTTCAGCATCTGTTGAATGAGCTCAGACTTTCCCAGGACACTATTTTACATTTGTTATATTAAAACTTTTACTCATGCTTGTGTTTTTTGTTTGACAGGATTAGTCATTGGTGGACGGTCCAGGAGTTCAGCGTGTTAGAAAAAGTTCTGGAGATGGTAGATATCTGAAACCACGGTGAACCAGGATGGAGCCAATAAAGAGAGACATGGAGCTGCTCAGTAACAGCATGGCGACATACGCTCACATTAAAGGTAAAAATTCACTGTGTCTATAACTGTGTAACACCTTCTCTGTGTCAATACATAGTGTCTTACGATAAATACATTTGCAGAAATAAAAAAGGAGCCAAGTTTTGCCACACAAAATTCAGATTTTTTAAAAACGTATTCTTATATTTTTTTTCCAAAAAATACTGTAAAGTTTATTAAGTTGATTTAAAAACGATGTGCACTTCATCAATGAGAGCGAGATTGGAAGGTTAATAGGCCTAACGCTGTAATAGGCTTTCTGTAAACCAAGTATAATGCTATCCCCGGGAGATAGTTAGCTAAGCTCGTTTGGAGAGATTTTCCCTTTGTGACATCACAAAGGGCAGTAACCCCTCCCCCAGGTGGTGACACTCCCACATCTCAGGTGTTTGTTCTGCCCTCTGAGTCTACCTTCTCATCGCAAACAATAGGACATGGAGCGAGAAAGCCCTAGCCACATCCCCTTCCAGAGAGGGGGCGTGGTCAGACACAGCTCATTTACATATTTAAAGGTACAGACACAGAAACAGCCTGTTCTGAGCAGGGCTTAAATAGAGGGGTTTATAGGCATGATCAAATACAGGAGCAGAGTGGATTTAGAACAAGAAAATTCACACATGTTTTGAGGAGCTCTGAGACTTATTTAAACTTTTTGAAAAAAAAAAGATATTTCCTAAGACAAATAAATGAAAACATGGTAAATAGCTTTAGAGGTGCTTGTATTTTGTTGCTGTTGTAAAGTGTTTATAATGTTTGTGCTAAGATTAGCTTGCTGGCTACCTCATTTAGCCCTTTCCTTGACATACATGTTTGAGAGTGATATCAGAAAACAAAGTCTCACATCTTTAAAGTCTGTTTTAAAACAATACTCATATTTATTGTGTTCTAAAAATGTTGATGGGTGTGTTACCGTTCCTCCTGTTTCTACGAAATCTAAATATGAACATGTCCTTGAGGGGGGAAACCGTTGAAACCACAGGTCTATTTTACTTCAGATCTCAACAGAAGACTTTTGTTTTGCGCTTGAAGAATTCCTCTCGCTGTCTAGTCTGAATTATTTCCAGGGACTCCTGTGTCCTGTTTTCTTTGGCTCACAACGCTGCTGCACAAATCTGTCAGAGAATCTGCTCGCATAGTTCAGTTTCCGTTGCTCCAAAGTATGCAGGAGAAAAGTTAAAGAGGTGACAGAATCTGTTTCTGGTCTGTCATCATCACACCCACAAATCATTTAGTGTACTGAAAAAAGTATTACAATCCTTTTCTTAAGGTTAATACCTATACTCAATTTCAAGTTAAAGTCCTGTATCTATAGTCCATTGCTAACCTGCTAAATATAGAGGATGAAAATGTGGTTATATAGGGAAAAATAGCCTCTGTGATTGAAATGTACTGATGTCATTATCAGGACTTTAATACTGATGCAACTTTAACAGATAACTGTGAAGCTTTTGGAGTTGTTGCTAATGAAACCACTTAAGAGTGTTTATTTTTGTCTAGTGGTTTCCAACTTGGGGGGTCAAACCGCTTCCAAAGGTCACGAGATAAATGTGAGGAGTCATGAGATGATAAATGTGGGAAGGAGTAGGAGTAAAACGAAAACAAACAAGAGTTATTAGAGTAAAAACATCTGAAGCTTAGAGGGAAAATGTCCCTTTACAACTAAAGATCTCAGGCGTTATAAAATAGCATTTGAAATTCTGAACAAAGAAGAGGTACGTTAAAATGTTTTTATTTATCTTATGATGTTTTCAGGCATGCTCAAGACTCCTGAAAACCAACAATTTCTGTGGGGAAGTTAACTGATGTGAGAACGCAGCAGGAAATATTCTAAAAAGTGGTTCGGGGGTTATGAAGTTTAAATTCTGTGACCCGTTTCTGCAATCTTGGTGCATGTAATGACACAGCATTATTATGTTTTCTGCGCCCCAGTTTGTTCATCTCCACTGTTTCATTGATGCATCAATTTGTCTAACTACCCATAGCACTGACATACAGACACAATTGCTGTTGCTTTGTCCACCATCTTCAAATCATTCTTTTTAAATCATTTCCTTCCAAATGAGAAAAAAAAAAAAAAATTGATAATAAAATAAATAAAATAAATAAAATAAATAAAATAAATAAAAAAAAAAAAATAAAAGAAAATAGATCAGCTTTAGTTTTTAATGTATTTTTTTTTGTTTAATTTTTACTGAAATGTTTACTTCAATTCTTCATGTTTTCTGCCCGCTCAGCCAATCCTGAGAGCTTCGCCCTCTACTTCATGATGGGCGTCTGTTTCGGCCTCTTAATGGCGCTGTGCCTCCTGGTGGCCGGCATCGCCTGCAGGACTCGTCGCCCTCGCAGGCCTCCACCTTCCCCTGAAAGAAGACAGCTGAAGGAGTCCAGTGAGGAAGAGGAGGACGAGGAGGAGGAGAGTATGGGGGAGGAAGATGTGGAGGAGACGGAGATCCCTAAAGTGACCGCGGGGCCCCTGAGTGATCGCAGCAGCCAATCTAACGGGACTCTGAGGAGCGTGAATGTGTTCGCATCGGCTGAGGAGCTGGAGAAGGCTCGGCGCCTGGAGGAGAGGGAGCGAATCGTCAGGGAGATCTGGAGGAACGGACAACCGGACATCCTGGTCACAGGGACGGGGACTATTGGACGAGTGCATTACCACTAACAGACACTTTAACCATCTCACAGACTGCAAAGGGCGGGACACTGACCACACAGCACAATGGAAGGAAACATTTTCATCACAATTTGTATAATGGGACAGTGTCAAAATCTTAAAATAAGGGACTGTCTGAAAACATGGCATGGTCACGTTTAAACGAAATGAAGGTTGAACTTTTCTTTTCCAATAATAGTTATGATACATGAACTAAAATAACACTTGGAGAGTCCCTCAGAAATATTTTGAATGAGTATAGTGATGAATAAACACAGACAAAATACCCTTCATATTTTCAAAACATTGCCAAATGTGTTCAGGACAGCTTTAAGTAAATTTAGCCATTAAATAAAAAATCAAATCTTTTAAATGTCTGTATTTATTCATGAAAATATTTATTTCATGATGTCATAGATAATTGGATATACACTTCACGCTGTAATGCTGTTGGGATTGATTTCTTGTGATGTCGTTTCTGAACGTGCATCAGACTTGGATTCATCTGTAATTAATCATCTTTGTCATATCTGTCTATTAAATTAAAGTTGAACCACCTTTTGAATCAACAGCAGGACACATGTTCTAGGAAACGTGCAGTTTGTGTGTCAACATAAACTTACTTTTTTTCTTGTTGAGTATGAATGAGTGAAAAAGCCGTGGTGATGTCATGGTGATGTCATGGGATGTCATGGGATGTCATGGTGATGTCATGGTGATGTCATGGGATGTCATGGGGATGTCATGGGGATGCCATGGTGATGCCATGGTGATGTCATGGTGATGTCATGGTGATGTCATGGTGATGTCATGGTGATGTCATGGTGATGTCATGGTGATGTCATGGTGATGCCATGGTGATGTCATGGTGATGTCATGGGATGCCATGAGATGTCATGGGGATGTCATGGTGATGTCATGGGATGTCATGGTGATGTCATGGTGATGTCATGGGGATGTCATGGTGATGTCATGGTGATGTCATGGTGATGTCATGGTGATGTCATGGTGATGTCATGGGATGTCATGGTGATGCCATGGGGATGTCATGGTGATGTCATGGTGATGCCATGGGGATGTCATGGTGATGTCATGGTGATGTCATGGGGATGTCATGGTGATGCCATGGGGATGTCATGGTGATGCCATGGGGATGTCATGGTGATGTCATGGGATGTCATGGGATGTCATGGTGATGTCATGGGATGTCATGGTGATGTCATGGGGATGTCATGGGGATGTCATGGTGATGTCATGGTGATGTCATGGTGATGTCATGGTGATGTCATGGGGATGTCATGGTGATGTCATGGTGATGCAGTAAGCGGCAAAGCGTCAGGAGCTGAGCACGGTTTAATGTGTAGCCTACCACATAGAGCAGGGGTGGGCAACTGGCGGCCCGGGGGCCACATGCGGCCCCCATCAACCCTCAACGTGGCCCTCAGGTACATTTTTACATATCAATAAATCAGAAACATGAAGAAAACGTGATGAAATCTGCCATGAAATCATGAAAACCAGAAAGATGTCCATAACAATATTTGATCACTGGTATATGTTGAGTTCAATTTGAGACATAATTGACTGTAATCGTTTTTGTATCCTACAATTTGCCCCCCTTGCTGTGTGAATTAAATGAATGTGACCCTTGCTCAGACCAAAGTTGATCGTCCCTGACTTACAGGATACAAAAAGAGACAAAAAGATCCAATAAACAAAGGGCCATTATTCAAAACACTTCTCCTTATCCTGCTACAGTTAGTTTTTTTAAGAGACAGAAAAAAAAACAGTTTAAAGTAACAGTTCAGTCCTTCTTCAGTCCTTAATCCGTCTTTGACCTCTGACCTCACGACTTGGTCCCTTTTTTTTAAATCCTCGCACAGAATGTCGCCTAACTTTAGCCCAGAATTTATTAGCTGTCCATTTGTTTTTCTTCACAAAAAGTGAAAAAAAGAGAGAAAGTGAAAGATATTGTTAATCATGAGAAGGCCATATTTTGTTGCCTGGCAACCAGGGAAGACTCCAGGAAGTATTTTGTTTCTCTTAAGCCAAATGGGCCGACTACCATAAAATTACATTAATAAATGTTTATAGCCCAGTGAATTAAAGGCCTGGACCTGGATTATTTATACCTATGTTTTTTGGTCTTAAGTTTTCCTCCACTTTTTTTCATAAAGTTACATTATTGTGCAAAAAAATAGACCGGTGATAACCCACTCTTGTTTCGGCTTTCTAATGTCCTTCTTTTAACTTATAAATAACTTTCTGGATAAATGTTATCATACTAGTTGTTGACATGGTAGACACCGTCTTCTAAACTTTGAGTCACTTCAGCAGTTTCATCAAATCATCTTGAGAGCTGAGATAACCTGTATTCATCAAGAGTCCGCTACATGGGGAGCTAATCTTCCCACAGAAGCCCTCCAGTCATTCCCAGTTTTGTGTCTCTGACCCCATCACATCCTGTGTTTCCTTTCCACAATTCCCCATCTTACATTCCCTCCCAGATTCAGCTGAGACACTGCAGCTCTCTGTGCTGAACACTTGTCTGTATATGGAGCTATGAAAAGAGCCATTGACCTCAGCTGTACTGTAGATTTTAACCAAAGCAGAGACTCCTGAAGTGGATCCAAACGATGTCCCAGGAGACAGCTGGTTTTCTGTTGGCTGGATTTTCCTCCCAGTGCATGAAAAGAGCGATTACGTTACAAGTGGAGCTCTTGTGTCCATTTAAAACTGTCAGAATGAGACACTCATGACCTGACGGTGCAGATGGAGTCTGTGACTAACTGTTTGTTCACTATTGTTTCTGGTCCCTGCCCATTATCAACACATAGAAGAAAAACATTTAGGCCTAGTCACATTTCAACACCTCCATATTTCATGCATTTTCTTTCTTAGATCTGACGAGGATTGCTTTTTTTAATAATTCTGTAGAGATGATATATAAAATAAAGCAACAACATCATGAAGCATATGTAGACAAACACAGATTTGTCACATTAGATTTGTTGCTTCTTCTTCCTTTTTTTTGTATAAATGTAGAGGTTTGTTTGGTCAAGCAGCAACCTCGTGTTAAAAAATGAGACAAACGTGGGTGTCTGCTTGAGGCTGCTCATCAAACTCCAGATACAAACTTCCGTTTTGACAAAGAAATTAACATGTTTACAGCCTGCTACAAAACACTATTTTGGTCTTATTGTTTTTATTGGCACACACTTTAAGAGGGGTTGAATTTTAATTTCAACTCAAAATGAACTTGTCATCGTGGGAAAACTGAGTAAAATGAGTAAAGGCCTGCTTAGGGTTAGGGTTAGTAATAATATATTTCTGACTTTAGTTCAACATTTAACCTGTAAACTATCTGTAATTATTATGTTTTGTGTTGTTATTTTAGACTTATCTTTGAGCTTTTTTTGGCCTTTACTGGAGAGACATTAGACAGAAATCAGAGAGAGAGAGAGAGAGAGAGAGAGAGATAGAGATAGAGGGAGAGAAATAGAGAGGGAGAGAGGCAGAGAGAGAGAAAAAGATAGAGAGAGTGGGGAACAACTTTCCTCCTGCTCTAAGGACAACATCCTCTGTACATGGGGCACTCAAACCAAAACACTCGGCCACCGGTACCCCAAAAAACAAGCTTCTCTTTGACTGCCTTGAGTTTCAGATTTCAGGTTCTAGTCAAGTGAAATAAATCCATCCACAGCTTGTTTCATGACCTCCAGGCTCATGTTTGTGACCTTCATGACACATTTTTTTTGTGTCCGGGCTGAAAAATGATCACTTCAGTATTTTCATACATATTTTTGTTTTATTAAGATCAGAAGAAAAAAAAACAATTCAGCAACTATTCAGATTTGTACACAGACTGCAGTGGGGTTTGAGAGACCCCAAACAAAAAAGAATAAATTCAACACAGTGGGCTGTCCAACATTTCTACAGTCTCAAAAGTCACTCACAGATCTGCCCTGACTTTAAAAAAAAGAGAAAAAGAATCCCAATGAAAATTAAAAGACAAATTAATTCAAAGCTCTTGAGAACAGTAAAAAAAAAAAAAAAGAGTTCTGCTTAGTACATGCAGTATGTACAATCAAAGTGGGACAAAGCAGCACAGTAAGATTCACAGAACGACTTTCTTTGTGTTTGTCACAAATCGTTAAGGTGTTGCTTCACTCGCTCGTGTTCCAGAGCTCTCTCTTTACGAGACACTAAATGTTGTATTAAAAATGAACTATCAGGAGTTTCTAGTTTCCCCTCTTCAAGATCTTAAGATAACAAATGACTTGTATACACGGAGTAGCCTTTTTAAAATATCTAGCTTTAGATCTAAAGAAGACTTAAGTTGATGTGACAGCGGCAGAAAGCTCTATGTGTGTGTTTGGGAACTTAAATGCCAATTCTTAACAATTTTATGATTGTTTTTTTTTTTTTTTTAAACTGAAAAACATCCACAAATTAACGACTATATACTGTAGCACACACACGTCATATGTTTTCACCTCTAAGTGAGAAGTACGGCTGAAGTGACACTAAATGAAAGAGCTCAGATAATGTGAGTGACAAACCTGTTCAGGGGTTCAACAGATACTTTCATGTGTGAAATTTTGATGATCGGGAGCCCTGAGCCCGCTACTGATTGGTCCCGTGGAGAGAGCCGTCAATCAAATGTTTCATGCAGGTAACATTGACGATTTAGCGCAGCCCCAAAAACACAAACAGAAAGAATAAAATGGACTCTACTCTGAAAAACAGCGCTCAGACGGGGGCCGTACCTCCGACAGATGACATGTGGCTGTTTTTTTGTTGTTTTTTTACTCTAAGGCACAAATGCATTTCTTATTTTCTCATGCTTTCAGAACATTTATCTTCGATGCCTCCGATAGTTCTCCCTTAAAAAGTTACAATTAAGTCGAAAAACCCAAACTCACCGTTACATTAAAAAGAAACATTAAGCTGAAAACTCACATAGAAAAAGTACGAGTGCTGCTCTGAAATCAAGTCAGGTCTTTCTTCACAAACTCACTGAACACATTAAACCACTAAACAGTTTTATGATGACGTGAAGAAGACGATCTAATCACTATTTAACCCCTTCATCATGGCTGTGAGTCGTCTACTGCTTCATGGCCGGCACGTCTCCGGGGCTCTTGGGTTCTTTGCGCTCCACTTCCATGTTGTCGTCTCCGAGCCCCCTGTCCTCCCCGCCCTGGAACATGTCGTGCGTCCACTTGGGGCTGCTGCCCCCTTTGCGGTAGACAAAGCGTCCCCGGCGGGCTGGAAAGGCGCCCCGGCCTCTTCCGCGGTTGTCCACCCAGGTTTTCTCTCCGTCGCGATCGTCATGCTGGAGGGGGAGATGGGAAGACTTAAAGATGAGGATGACAAAAAAAAAAGTTTATCTGATTTTCCACAAATAAAAAATCAAGATCTCGACTTGACAGACTTTACTGTTTATAAAGATCATCTTAATACACTCAAATAAAAATCTAATTCAACAACACTCGAGTCAATAAAAAGCTTTCTGTGGGCTAAAGCAGGCGTCACACGAGCTGTTTTAACACAATCATCACA